ATCCTGCAAAAATACCGTGGTCTGGCTGGCGATAATCCAAATCTTTCAGAGGCAGGACCAGCTACCACTTTTCAACGTGCAGTCCTTGCCTGTTCCTTAATTCAGGATACTATGGCATTCCCTGTTATTGTGCCCCCTGCTGGTGCTCCAGCAGGAACTCAAGCCCAGCACCAACCTTTTGACTTTAAAATTTTGAAAGAGCTCCAATTGTCAGTCAGGACAAATGGACTTCAAGCACCATTCACACAGGCGCTTTTGGAAGCCACATTAGCCCAGCTGTTGGTGCCAGATGACATCAAGCTTTTGGCACGTACAGTTTTACCTCCATCAGCTGGTGTATTATTTGCTCATGAATGGGAAATCGCCTGTCGTGGTTATGCTCCTGCCTTACTGCAACAAGCAAGAGGGAATAATCCTAATATTACCCTCGCAGATGTGATGGATGCTATGATGGGGCGTGGGCCCTTTGCTCAGGCTTCAGTACAAGCCGCACTGCTGCAGATTTTATTGAGGGATACTGCTCTTGCTGCTCAACAAGCAATGAGAAAAATTCCAGAACCCACCAGTATCCAGTCGAGGTGGGGTTCAATCAGACAAGAACCTAGAGAATCATATTCTTCCTTTATGGACAGGCTGATTACAGCAGTGAGTCGCCAAATTGAAAATCCTGAAGCCAAACAAATAATTATCAAACAATTGGCCTTTGAATATGCCAGTGAGGATTGTAAGGTTGCGTTACAACCGATAATACACAATCCTGCCACAGATACAGCAGCCATGCTTCGCATTTGTCAGTCTGTAGGTACAGCAGTTCATTTGCTGGCAGCAGCGCTCAATGAAAACCAGCCTGTAGCCACCGATACAACGTTTCCAGTGTGGCAAACCAGGATCACCGATACCTCGGTGTGGGTAGAACGGTGGCCTCTACCAAAAGGAAAATCCGCAGCAATGGCACCATCTTGTTTCTGAACTGCTTATTTCTGAACAATTGACTTTCGGCCACATTGAACCATCTTCACCCCACTGGCTCCAGCAGACAGGGAACAGTTTGCTTTTACATTGCCAGTATATCACAATTCGCAACGATATCAGTGGATTGTCCTCAATGCATGCGGAACTCCCCTACACTTTGTCAACATTTTGTGAGTGAAGCATTGAAACCTTTCCGCATGCGCCACCTAGAGGTGCTGCACACAAGCTGCACCTGGCCGTATTTTCTACACCGTTGTTGCCAACAGGAATTTATATGCTCAGACGGACAAGAAGAAGACTATCTGCATTATAGAATGGTTACATTTACCGCACATCCCACCAAAAAACATTTATTCCATAATTGAATCCACATCAGACATTGTTGTCAAAGGATAACTTTAAGCGGTTATGATGTTACCTCAATTTATTTACCTTTTTCACAGACTGAACAGCAGCATTTATTGATAACAAATGCTGCCGTGCAAATTGCTTTAGATGATTTTATAGGTGTCATCATTTTTAACCCTCCAAAGGATGACCGTTTGACATTTCTGAGACAGGTCACCTATGTTTGGCTACCCCCTTGTCTCTCACACCTCTCCCCTCTGCATTGACCCTCTTCACGGATGGAACGAAAAGTAGGGGGGTGGTGACATGGGAGGGGGGAGGAAAATGGAAATGCTTATTTACCCCTCCACAGTCTTCCGCTCAGCGAGCTGAGCTAGCAGCTGTGATTCTTGCCTTTCAATCCTTTCCTACTCAACCTTTCAATCTTATTGTGGATACTCAGTATGTATATCGCCTTTTTGCTATTTTACCAGTATCTTATATAACTCCTTCCTTGGATTCTGACTTGTTTTCCTTGTTTCTTGGCCTGCAAGCCTTACTTCAGCATAGAGAGTTCCCTTATTATGTTGCACATCTTCGCTCCCACACATCGCACCCAGGGTATTTAGCAGAGGGCAATGCAAGAGCAGATGCGGCTCTGAGGGACATTTCTGCCTTTTCTCTCTTTTCTGATCCTATACTAGGTCATAACACCTTTCACCTTCCTGCGAAAGCATTGGCAAAGCATTTTTCTATTCCCTAGGCCCAAGCAAGGGATATAGTTTCCCAATGTGCTTGTTCTAAATCTCAGCTGGCCATTCCTTTTGATGCTGTCAATCCTAGGGGCACGTCTGCATTGGCGTGTTGGCAGATGGATGTCACACACACACCTGTGTTGGCTCCACTCTCCAAGGTTCACCTCATGGTGGACACCCACTCTGGATTCATATGGGCTACGCCCATGAGGGGGGAAACAGCTCGGCATGTCATTCAGCACACTATCCGCTGTTTCTCAGTCATGGGTAAACCTGCGCGTATCAAAACTGATAATGGTCCAGCTTATATTTCTAAAACATTTTCAGAATTTTGTATGTTGTGGAATGTGAAATTAACTCATGGCATACCCTTTAACTCCACAGGTCAAGCTATAGTGGAAAGAGCACACCTGACGTTTAAAACACTATTGCTTAAACAGCTTGGCGGCCGAAGCATACCAACAGCAGATATCCCTTCGGCTGTTCACCAAGTTCTTTTTGTACTTAACCATCTTTTATATCCACATATTAGGACCCATACTCCCGCGGATTTGCATTTTAGGAAGGAGGAGGCACTCCCCCGCCCCTTGGTGGTGTACCGACGCTTGCCTGATCCCGCGTGGCATGGACCTGTCCTGCTGATCACGTGGGGACGAGGGTAAGCGGCAGTGGACATCGAGGACAAGCCTTTGTGGGTTCCAGCTCGATGCGTGCGGCCATGGCGAGTCTTTAACCGCGGATGCGCCTTCCTAACCATTTGCCTTGCCATCCTTTGCTGCACCGTTATACAAGGAGAAGCAGACGACCCAATATAGTTGAAACCACCTTATTTCACCTTATCGGCTGGCAAGCAGCTGTCGCCTGAATCCTACTCTGGCTGGCAGCATCCACGGCTCAGCCACTTTCGAATTATAAAAACAGTGTTGTTGAATAAGACTTTTAGGGGTGAAAATTATCATAAGATATGGAGGAATAATATTTTTGTACAAGATATGATTATGTTTACCAGTTTATTGCATGCTTCTAAATGTTGGTTATGTATGCACATGCCCCCTTTTGAGAGTCATTCAGGCATAATGCTTCATGATGTGCCTGTCAATGGATCTTTTCAATTTACAAATATTATATCCCCTAAGCAATCTTTTTGGCCCCCAGTACACTTGACCCTCCATGAGCCTACACCCATTTATTTTCAAAATAAGGAGGGGAAAGAATCATGGAGCATATATCCAAACTGTCAATATGCATTGAATTTCACTTTTAATAGCTCTTGTTCTCTTACAGGAACATACAGTGACCAATTTCAGTGCTATAGAAGTGACACCAGTGCATGGCTAATAAACTAGAAAGGAAGCTACCATGCAGCTTGGAATCAGAATTCTTATATTCTTGGCTTCCGGATGGAAGTTGGCTTCGACATTTATTGATTTTAGTGATCATTATAGTAGTTATTTGCATTATTTTGTGTTGCTGTATACAATGTATTCTTTCTATAATCTCTATATGTACTGCATGGTTCTCCAGTCCGCGGCCCGCTTCCGGTCTCACATGAGTCGTCTATCGCACTCGATATAACCGTATTGGTACTGATTAATTAAATAAAGAAAGAGGGCATGTGGGAGTCATAGCCATGGTAAAGGCTTGCAATATTGCAGGGTGCCTCCTGACCTCGGGTGACCAGCACTCTGAGCTTTACAATGTATTGGAATGCATGACCTCATATGGAGTTATGTTCCCCCCCCTCTGGGCAGTGTAACCCTATATCTGGTTTGTGGGTGGGTAAAAGCTTGACCGGATGTAGGTAACGTGAGACATTGGAATGCAGCCATGCGGCTGGAGAGGAACAAAGGGCAATAAGAATAAACGGACTGGAGGAAGAGGAGAAGTCTGAAACGAGCTGCCTCCATCCATGGAAAGATTGCTAGCCTCAGTGTCTTTATTTAATGCCTAAAAAGCACCATTTGTAACGGCAGGCTCCGACATTGTGACTTCCATGTCCCTTTTTCATCTTGCTTTGTTTTTCATATTCTTTCTTAAATTTGACATTTAACAAACAAACTTGATTGCCATTTTCTCAACATGTGAAGATACACTAGGCTTCACATGGAGTGGTAAAATTTAATGATGGCTAAGGACTATGATCTGTGATCTTCTTGTATTGTTACATGTGTTCTTCCCTTTTTGTTGCCTGAATTTTTAACTTTATTTCAAAATAAATTCCATGTTGTTGTTGTTGTTTACTCATGAATAACTGTATGAATCTTATCACTAATAGAAGCTTGCTCCAATGAGGCAACATCTGGCATTTGATGTGCATGTTTATGATGCATTATCTTTTCTTAGGTGCTATTGCAGGTTTTAGGCTGCAAATCTATTTAAATGGGAGTAAATCCTAAGTAACTCAATTGAACTCATCCTCTTGAATGAGTAGGTATGCACCGTTAACCCCATTGTGGAACCAAAGTTTAATATCCAGAGCAAAACACGGGTCTAATATTAAGGCAAATTCAAAAGAGGATAACAGCTGTGGCAGCTTTTGGGGACTGTAGGCCGGGTTTTGTTATTTTTAACTTAATTACCTCATGTGGTTTCTCATGTTGAGGTTCTTTTAAAACAATAAATAGGGTGGTTTATTTGTAGAACTGTCTTGTTCCACACATCAAACTTTGTCCAAAGTCAGTCCAGAACTCTGTTCTGTTCTATTCTAGGGATGTTATTAACATACATATGCCAAACAAATGGGGTGTTTATCGATTACACCCATGTGTGCTTGTGCAGTTACACACCTATATGTCATGTGCAGCCTACTATCTTTTGATTATGACTTCTACCCCAACTGCAGCCATGCCTTAAAGCATTTGTGATGTGCCAATATGAAGACCAAAGGCGTTGAAAGGTGATCTGGAAATGTACTGATCATTTATTTCTTTATTTCACTTTCCTTAGAGTTTGGCCACAGAGTTGCAGTCTAGTGTGAAAGAGATGAGAACGCGAATCAGATGTAGTAAAAAAATGCAAGAAAACAAAAAATGCAACAGCGTTTCCAAAGCATCTGTTCACCGAGCCCAGCACGTGGCAGCATCTATCCTTAATATTTCAAAGACTGATTTAGACAATTTACTTGATGTTGAGGATGATGAGGTAAGCGACCAATAACACCTGGTTTTGCTAAAAGGAAGCCCCCTCTTTTGCTGGTGTGGATTGGCATAGCTCCATTTAACTCAGTGGGCTGCAGCAGTGTCACTTAGACTCTATAAATTTATTCTCCTCGTTCTCTTCCTCCTCCTCTTCTGATTTCTTACCCACCCTTCACCGTAAGGTTCCACCAATGCAATAACAAGATTAGACTGGGTGTGTGTCATGGATGCTTTAGCTAAGATTATATGATTCTATGTATGTATTGGGTTATTGCTTGTTTGCATGGTTTATTCTTTAGCCCTTTCTTCTCCCTAAGATGTCCTACAAGGCAGTGGGTACAGATTTTTCATTGGGGTTTCTTCTGGAAGCCTTTCTCATGAATGAACATAGCGGAGGTTGAGGACCAGAGTTTTCCAGGTTGACAAGCCCCATCTGCCCCTCATTTCTCTCCACAGCACATGCGGAAACTTCCTTCTTGATCATTGGACCCACGATTGTTTTCATCTGCTTGAACCTGTCTTTGCATGCAGGGGATAGCCAATTTACTTCCAGTAATGGATTGTAGCCTCAATTTGGGCCCTTCTGCATGTTTTCTTGATCACTGTGCTCTGGGCCTTCCCTGTTTTTTTCTTGCCTGCCACCACTCAGAAATGAGTGACAATTTAAATGCAACATATTTCATACCCTCCAATTCCAAGTAAACTATTCCCCCAGTAGTAAGTATGGCACTCCAGACACAGAATTGATCTTTGCCTCCTTGGACAGATGTGAGTCCAAAATGACCCCCCAGGCTGCACACCTGGTCCTTTAGGGGCACAGTCATCCCATTCAGGACCAGGGAACCCCCCACACTACCTGTCCATGTCCCCCAGAAACAGTACTTCAGTATTTTAGGGATGTAGTCTAAATCTATTGGAAAGGTTGAACTGCTCATGAATAAATGGGCAAGGTTTAAAAGAACTTATTCCACAGATCCTTGGGGAGTTTGGAGTTGTCCCTCAAATGCATCCCCCATGCTAAGCTCCAAAAGCCACGTTTTGTGACAAGTTCTGTAACCACTGCCGATCAGCTGTGGAGGTCCACCATTTGTGCCTTGAGAAGCCACAGACCTGACATCCAAGTTAACAACACGGTGGAGCTATACTAAGGGTTGGGACTGCATTGAAGAAAGCCCTGCTTGATATTGCCTGGGACAGAAAAGTCTTCTTTCTCTACTTCTTATATCCCTTTAAATGTCACTGCTAGTAGACAGCGTGATCTGGCTGACAAGGGGTGGCAGGCCCCAACTTCTGCACGCTGTAATAGAGGAATTGTTGTGCACCAATATTTATTTATTTTGGCGTGTGTTTTTAGGAAACACAACAGATGAAAATGGAATATGAAAGCGACAAAGAATGGATGGGCTACTTACAGAAGCTTCTTGAAGGACAGGTGCTTGGTTTTTGCTATATCATCAAGTATAACCATGGCTATAATTTATTTCATGGCATGCAGTTGCTTATCTACTGGAAAGATGCTGTTTTTACACAATATTGTCCAGAAAATATATGCTACACTTGCTGACTTCCTCAGCTATGGGAGAGAACACTCTTGTTATCACCCACCTTTGACAGCTAAGATGGGGAAAGTTCAGTTCCCAGTGTGAAGAAGGCCAAAGAGTCTCATTTACCTCCTTCCTGTATTTATGGGGATCCTTCCCATTGAAAAAGGAGAACAACTTCAAAGGCTATTTGCATGGTAGATCTGGAGTGATTTCCCAATTCCTGGTGGGAGAGGAGCCCGTTATCTGAGTAAGAAACAGAGTGCTTCTCTTATGAAGAAATGGCTGGCTGGTCCAAAAGCTCTGCTTCTCACTCGCCTAACGGGAGCCCTTTCTACAGAGAAATCATTGATAATAATGGTGCCAGGTGGAGGTCCCTATTTGGATTTCCTATTTTCCAATGGGAAGATGCATTGGCCAAGCCAAAAGCAGTGATCAGTGCACATCTCACCTGGCCTCCAGTGATGTCACCTTGCTCCCCACTCCTAGTGGCACCTGCAAGGTGAGAAGCCACTCGCTCAATACGGCAAAGGAAGACAGGTGGAGGGGCTTGAAGAAAATGTCAACCCTAGCTAAACTCAGCCCCAAGTGAACCATTCCTGCTTACGTTTTGGGGAAAGAAGGGAAGTTGAATACCTTAGGCAGAGCTCACCTAAGTCTGAGAGGTTTAAGTACAGATTTAATTAAAGCGCATTTCAGTATCTTTTTACCAAAAAAAAAAAATCTATTGAAAATTTTCAAGGGTGTTTCCTAAACATCCTTTTCTCTTAAGCTTTTGAGACTTCGCATGAAATGGAGGAAAGGTTAACACCATATTTGTTTGAGCTAATGATACATATGGAAAATAGAACATCTAGGGAGACAAGCCTACATCTCGGCAAACGTATTAATTAAATTATTGAGTCTATCTATATCCATGGTGGAGAGAAAAGGATCTGTTCCCTCATAAGTCTTAGGAAAAAGAGATTTTTTTTTATCATGTGCCTTTAAAGTTAGTAGTTGATATGGACACCTGAGGAGTTCATGGGTTTCTGTGACCTTTTACTATGGACCTGTTTCCAGTCAATTCATGTTTTCCTCACAGCCAGACAGCTGTTTATTACCGTGTCTTCCCGCATTCTCTACAATATTTTCTACTGAGACCTCAAGCAGCTTGTTAGTGGGAAGTAAATATTGATTTGGCATCCTGTCAATGCAGAAAGAATGAAAAAATTTCCACCAGAGGCCCCTCAAACATTTTCCTATCGACATTTTCTGGGCAGAGTGGAAGGCTGCATAGAGGATGACAAGGCTGAGACTAGTTGAAATCCCTGAGGGGTCCATTGAGACTGCCGCTGTGACCTGTGTGATACTTTTTCTTCTCTTTCAAGTCTTTTTTTTTTTAATACACACACAAGTCTGCTGGGATGCTCCCCTCTTGTAAGTGATCAAGGGCAGCTTATTGGCAGGTGAGAGCCCTGCTTTTCTAGTCATAGCCAGCTTTTGTTTCAAGATGGCTGACAACATAAACTGGGTTTTGAAACTTCTTTCCTATGTAGTATATTTATCCTCCCAGTTCTGCTAATGTGTCTCCCTAATCCAGGGGGAAACTGTCCTACAAAGAGAAGAGTCTATTTATGACAGATGCGCCGCAGTATTTATTGCACAAATGTCGTAAAATGCACGTGCGATTTCTCTTCAGAAAGTGAGAAAGGGTTTTTTTAAAACAGTTTGGGTGATTCTTGGGAAAAGCTTTCAATCTGTGCACCCAGTTAAAAGCAGCACACATTTTCACCCTAAATGAGATCAAAACTTAAAATCCAGTGTTACAGTGATGGCTGATATTTATTGACTGGCAGGTATTTAATTTATTATCAAAAGGTTAAAGGAGCGCCAATACTTTCATTGCCCAAAAATCCCAGAAATGCAAATATCCAGTCAATAGGAAGTGTGAATCAGGCAACCGTTTTATGGGGTTGGTGCCTATGTAATTCTGGTGATACATTAACTGTGGTTAAGAGACTGGGAGCTGATGACACAACTGAGAACTCACTCTATACTTCCCCTTTTGCTCATTGCTCCCTTCCTTCTTGGCACAAATTCTGCCATCCTTCCTCTGACCACCTTAGCCCTGGCTAAGTGTTACTGTCACTGATGTTTGCCATTGTCAATGCTAAGCAGGCTTCTATCATAGGCAGGATCTGAAACTGGCTTCAACCAGTCTATATGCCTCTGCCAGTCTATATGATAGAAAGATCAAATACAAAAAAGGTTTTCTGTATCCTCCTTTTGAACTTCTCACCTGGCATTAGTGCATAACTTAGGTAGGCAAAGTTTTAGGTTTCGGGCTGAAATCCACGTATTTTGGAAAGGCAGGATCTTTCCTGAATCCAGTGGGACTTCATGTCATTTATAGCACAATGCTATTTCTTTGGAAGCAAGCCCCATTGAGTTCAGAGCTTACTCCCACGTAAGTGTGTTGAGAATTGCAGCCTTTGGAGATGATTCAGATCATACTTCTGCTCATTTCTCACCACCACCAAGTAGGAAGCACATGGAACTCAGTTGCTGAAGAAAGGAAGCGGCTTCTAACTCCAACTACAGGCTCCAAAAGATGACTGTGGATTTACAAGGGTCCTTGTTCTATCATCCTGCCATGGCTTCCCAGCATGTGTAGAAATACCAAAACGAACATACGTTTGTTCCTTAAGCATGCCAGTGGACATGTGATGAGCACAGTTGTCCTACGTGGAAGCATTGACGATGGAAGAAAATGGAAGGCAGCCCTCAATCACAACAAAACTTCACAAGCCTAAGCCAGATAGCTGCCTTTTTGGCATATACCTGGGAAAGAGAGGGTAGTATCATATGTTGCAGGTGCACATGGAAGATATTGAATACCCCTTCTCTCAGCGGACCAGTACCGCAGGCACCCATCCAGTTTTGTGGAACACGAAGGGCAGCACGTCCTGCAGACAAGGCCAGGCTGACATGAAAACTCCTGCCCGTTCTGTGGAGGCCAATAAGCTTGGAAAAGTTAGAGCCCTCTTGTATCATTTGCGTTTCCCATCCAAGATGTTTACGTCCGTTTTGTGATCTGCTGGGCCACCTCCCCCCCCCACTTCCTCCCCACCCCCTCACAGAATGTCTTGCAGCAAAGTACATGAGATCACTTAATACCGAAGTTTGATATAGTGTCTTCTTGTGCCATTGAGCCTGGCCTCTAGAACATAATTGCCCAACAGTATTGATTTAATTGCCTAGGTTTATTTGTGGACTCCTAATTATTGACTGGAGGTAAATTTAATGGAGAAACCTTTATGAACACAGGGAAACTGCTGCTGTTGCTGTTATACATAAATGAACAGCATCACATCCCTTTGGATCATTTTTCAAGCTAATTTTATTCCACTGTGACAGTATGATAACATTTAAAATGTCATAGACGTTTTATTTTTATTGCTGACATGCACCGTTTTAGTACTACATTAGAATTTGGGAGGGAGCAGTTTCATGGTGAGCACTGGTTGTTCTTTATTGTCATTTAAAGATTCCCCCAGAGAGGAGTCGTAAACCGGGGCACACCTCGTAGATGTTGTATCTCCACCTGTGTTTCCTGTATTGCTGATTCCTAAAGGGGACGGGATCTTTTCTGCCTAAGGAAATCATCAATAATGTTGCTGATTAACAAATATAATATCTCTGGGCAGTTGCTGAACAAATATATCTGCATAAAGTGACCTCCCCCCCCGGCCCATATGAGTGAGATTACAGGCAGAGTGGAGAAAAAGCTTCCAGAGAGCTCTTGTTTCACCTAATGGGCTATTAGAGTCTTTTTACGGAGCAATCCTATCCTCGCATTACCCGTATTGGGGGTGCAGGGGCGACATATGCTAGCGGAATGGCTACCATGTTTCGCCCAGGAGAGGAGAGGAAGCGTGGACCTTCGTATGAGGTCAAGGAAATGCAACCGGAACATATGACGGTGGAATAAACACAACAGAGGCACCCACAACGTCCCTGGATACATTGCCATGATCCTTCAATCAAGACTCTGTTGGCATCAGTGCATGCCATCCATGCATTGGGACACACGCATGCCTCTTATCCCCATGCGCACTGAATGCAGGATGAGATCGCAACATCCTCAGCCCCAGTGGCTTAGCCAACAACGGCACTTCTACTGCCATTCCCTTGGCTGGCTCCACGTTCCACTGGCATATCTGAAGTGTCACAGCAATGGTGCTTCTTGCTTTCCACCAGTGTAGCAGGGCTTCCGCAGAATCCTATAGCCTCCTACTGGACCTTCAGTAAGGACTGCGCCTTTCGTCACCAAAGTATCTATGGATCACTTATAATACCTTTGGTCCTCCTGAAGTTGGTGAACTGCAAACCTCATCATCCTTGCCATTGGTCTGGCTCACCGGTGCTGATGGGAGTTGGCCTTCAGCAACATCTGGCTGGAGAAAAGTTCTGCACCCATGGTTTAATGGCTTTCTGCCCTGCTCATCTGTTGAAAAGTCTCCAAGAGCGGCTTACCTACAGTCAAAAGAAGCCTGCCAAAAAAGCTTATGAACTGAAGGATGTGACGCAAAAGGAAAATAGGGAGAGGGGGGGAAAGCAAACTGGAACCAATTGTTAAAGTCACATCGTTTTTATAATTTCAAGCTGGAATGGAAACACGTATCCATGTAGTTCAGAAAGCCTTGGGGAAGGAAAGAAAAAATGAATGGGTCCCTCCAATGCATAACATTTCTTAAAGCACATGGAATGCAGAGTAATCAATGACCTCCCATGGCACAGATGCACACAGAGTTTATGGAGAAAGACTTGGTTAGGAGATCTATTACGTGGCATACCTACGTATATACAATATCCAACGTACATTTCTCCAGCTATCCATAATCAAAGTAACCCTTTATATAGTCGCACTTCTGTCCTTTAAAAAGTGAAAATATGTGTTTGTAAATCCTTGTTCTCGAAGAGACGCTTTGGGGGCGGCAGGGTGTGTGTGTAATATAGCACTGTGTGCTGAGGATGAGAACCTAATGAAAGAACCCAGCTTCTATTTAAACCATTGATATTTGCAAGGCTGACTTGTAAATAAATATTTGGGTTTGGCAATATAATGCCTGGCTGAGATGCAGGAGCCAGGACACAGCAGCCAAATCACAGATGGTCCACTGCTTAAGCCCTTTCCCCTTGCTTCAGCGCTGCAGAACTTACCTTGCAGCAGAAGCTAAAGGTCACCTGTTAAAGGGCTGACCAATATTCTTGCTTTGCCTAAAATGCCGTCACTCTAATTAAGAGGCTCTTTGTGTGTGTTAAGAGGATCAAATGTCAACCCTTGCTTCTGCCAAGTCAGGGGCAGGGTGGAGGCAAAGTGATGCAGGCCAGATCTGTGGCAAGAATTTTTTTGGGGGGTGTTTCTACAATCAAGTGGTATATACATTTTACGAAAATACATACATATCAGTAATACCCATAGTCACCCTGTTGCTTAGCACAAACATGGCGGCACTCCCTGTGTGACTCTTTCCTTTCTGTTCGCTGTTCCCCCCTGCCTTGCAGGCAGAAGGATAACAAATGGGAAATCCATAGCACAGTGCAGTGTCTTTATCAGACACCAAACATTGCTGGATCTTTAAGGACCACTTCATATGAATCTTCCGTTTTTCTTTCTTTGCTTACTGTAATCTATGACCGTTGGAAATGGGTCATATGAGTCTTTTTATCATGTACCAAACCAGCCATTTTTCTTACTACCACCAATGCTTAATGTAAGCAAAACAGATCAAAGATTGGGAGGGGCCAGTTAAATTAAAAATTGCCCCCTAGTTGTACCTTAGTTGTAGCTGCCCTTTGAGCTCTTTCATGGGACTTCCCTGTCCCTGGAGACATTTGCTAGCAGAGTTACTTCTCTGATTTCTGCCTCCTCTCTCACGAGGCCTTGCTCTCTTGAAACCCTCAGAGAGCAGAGCTTCTAGTAGCCTTACATTAAAGGCAGCTGAAATCTATACAATAGGCAGCTCGTGAAGAATCTGCATCACCCAGCACACAACGCAACCGCTGTTCCCTTCATAGCGATCACAAACTTTGGTAAAACTGTTTTCTCTTGCTTGGGGTTGTCTTTCCAATAAGGTAATATGAGCTCTGCAGTGATATGGTTTATGAAAAGCAACTGAACGTTGCATCACACAAAATTAGCTGAATAAACAGGTTGCAGGTATCCCAGTGGAGATATGCATCCTATCTCGACGGACCCTGTCAGGCCATGCAACTGTATAGGAAAGGGATATTTCCTTTCGGGTTAATAACTTAATTTGTTCTGGAGGTCCGTTCTTAACCTGAAACTGTTCTTAACCTGAGGTACCACTTTAGCTAATGGGGCCTCCCACTGCCGCCACACGATTTTTGTTCTCATCCTGAAGCAAAGTTCTTAACCCGAGGTTCTAGTTCTGGGTTAGCGGAGTCTATAACCAGAAGCGTCTATAACCTGAAGCGTCTGTAACCTGAGGTACCACTGTACTGACTTAAAATTTTAATTCAAATGGGAAACTCTGAAAACTATCCTTTGCCAAAGCTAGCGGACTCTAAATCAACCTGTCCTGCATCAAATTAATCTGTCAAACATCTTAAAGTGGGCAAACTGCAGGGAAAGTGGGGGCAGCAAAGGACCAGAGTAAGAGGCCTAATCTTTACATTCTGTCCCCTCAACCAAAGAAGTGTGTGTTTGCTTACATATTTTGCAAACATATTTGACCCTAATCAATAAAGTTATGGCCTGGCTTTTATTCATGGCCTGCTTCCCCTACACTATGCATACGAAGCAGACATGCCAACTCTAGGGAGCCAAAGGCACCTTGGCCCCCTCAATATTTGTTTGAAGGGGCCAGGCCCCCACAATCTCCAGGTGCCCCGTGTATGTTGTATATGTGTGATGTGACATGCGCAATGCAGGTTCATTGGCTGGCTCCTCCAGCCTCCTTAGCCGTTTCCAAGGCATGCGGGTCATACACATGATGTCACACATACTAGAAACCCCGCCCCCCCAATCTTGGGTGCAACCCAGTGCCTCTGATACTGAGCTAAAAGGGCCTATAGTGTGACTCAGTATAATGTAGCTTCCTATGAGAGAGAGTAAACATTTGGGCCCCATTGATAAGACTCTGTAGGGTGAGCTCTTTTTGTTCAGGAATTATGAACACATAGAGGAAATCTGTATATTTACTAACCCATTAATAAAAATCTGGCAGGCCTCCACTGAAGATGAAGACTGCAAAGATGCAGTGCGGGATGTATGTCTATAAAGAGAGCCAGATAAGAACATGGACACATTCCCAGAAGCTGATAAATGTGCAAGACATCTGCAACATTTCAAGCTCTCTTATCCTTGATTGCACTGAATGATTAAGATAGAAACACCTCCTTAAAAATCATTTTACAGTGACAAAGGAGCCTTAGAATGTAGTGAACAGCAGGTAAAATATAGAATGATATGAGCCCAAGACAGTGGTAAAGTAATCCATTCATCTAAAGGGGAGTGTTATTAGGAAAAAATAAAGATGCCTCAAAAGCAAATGTGGTCTGGGGTTTGAGACAGGTTTGAGAAACTTTGAAGAATGGAAAGGTTGGCGGTTACCCTATACATAACTACATGAAGAGGGGGAAAGCATAATGTAGGGAAATGATATTTACAAAGTCACATGTGAACTGCATTGCATGATTCCCACTGGCTCAGTGTTCTTTGGCACAAGAAACCTTAACGCCAGTGTATGAATTGCACATATGTTGATGTGTTTTTCTCTGTATTAATTTATTTTTCTCATCTGTGATGGTTTGAGTTAGTCATTTGCTTATGTACCCAACTTTTTCTTCTTCTTAATTCATCTATGAATACTTAACTGGAGAAGAAAACTTTAAAAAAACAAACAAACTTGCAAATCTTTATTTCTGATATTGCTCCATTTGGATGTGTGGCCTGCAGCGAAGGAAAGGTCTTAACCCCCCCCCCCAATTGTGGGAATACTTCTGCATTTATAGGGATTTCTAAGCAAACCCCTTTGCCAACCTAGCCTATTTTGTTGAGGTTAGCAATCTTCGGGTACCATGGGTTGGTTCCACAGGTGCAAGCAGAAGCCCTTATCTGCAAATGAAAAAACTTCCTCTGACTTAGCACAAAACCTTTGTGAAAAAGAAGTGAAATTCAGTGGAGTGCTCAAGGCATTGTGAAATAATTTCCTCAGCATCTGCTGGTACAAAGTGTTGCACAAGGACTTGCAAAACATCTCAAGAAGATGCTAACTGCTGAGTGTTATCTGTTGACCAAACCCAACCTTCTCAACAGAATGACTTAATATGCTTGATATGTCCATCTGTCATTACATCTACCTTGACCTTGGCTCATTCTTGAGCATTTCAAATTCAGCCCCTGGTTTCACTTTTGCCATATTTGCTAGTTACCGTTTCTAGCTCTTACCAGAAACCTGGCCCACTTTGTTGAGGTTCATAGCCTTTGGAGCCAGAAAAGGTTGGATCCTCAGAAGTCCTTCTACAACTGAAAGGCTTTTTCCAGACTTAGCACAAGTTTTCACACCTGTTGCGTGGCCTGCTGGGAAAATCGCTTTCTTCCTTCTCAACATCATAGTGAGCTTACAGACTTGGTGTAGATTTAGATGCTCACAAGCAGCCCATTCATTTCCTTTCCGCTGTGGACTGTTGCTCTAAGGCAGCCATGTCCAAAGTCCATTAAGGGGGCCAGTCTGTTTAATCTGGCCCCTGTGGCAGTTTATCTCCTGGGGCAAAATCCTAAAAATACCTCAACAACTTCAACCTTAAACAAAGCTCAACAACTTTGGAGTAAAATCCTTAAAAAAAGCTTAACAACTTCAATCCTAAAAAAGGTTAACAACTTCGGTTGGCCCTTTGGTTTGGCCCTCACGGCCCTTCACTTCATCAGATCTGGCCCTCTTTGAAAAAAGTTTGGACACCACTGCTCTAAGGACACAAAGACTACTGACTTGCCATGTGACGAAGGCTTTCTTGAGAATTACAGCCACCCTGCGAATAATGTCGTTTTTCTAACTTTGACCGTAAAGTATAAATAAAGTTAGTGCAAGCTTGTCCTGTGCCCACCCCAAAGTTTCCTTTATGCTTACGTTTCCCAATAGAATCCTGATCTGTGAAGGGATTCCCCCCCCCCCCGCATTTAGTCCCCAAAGTTTCACTGGATGCCTCTGAAAGCATTTGCCTCCGGCCCGAGGAGCTGTATTGATAGCTCCCTCTCTCCCTCTCCTGAGAGCAGTCAGCATGCAGTGCTGCGTCTACTTATAAGTGCCCCAGAGATGACTGTAACCTCATATTGATCAGCTGATTGAAGATAAATGACAGAGCTGCTGGTATTGCAGATTACATCATTAACATGGTCAGTAAACCATGAATTGTTCAATAAGGCGTTTATCTTTTTTCATTTTATTCTGCTCTTTTATCATTTTTATGATAAGGAACAGTTACACACACTAATCAGGAGGATCCGTTTTAGGAGAGAACGGACGTGGGCAAGTGTGCCAGTGTCAGAACTAAGTGAAATCTAATGGCTTCAGAACACTTAGTAAATGTTTTTTAGCTGAAGAAAAATATAGGCTTCGCTGATCATTTTTCTTACTCTGCCTCTCTTTCAGTTTCCTTTTGCTTCGTATTTAATGGATGCAGTGCTGGAAAAACTAAATGAGCAGAAAAAACTGGCGGAAGAATACAGTTCTCTTGTGAAACAAATGGCCTAGGTGTTGCTGAACAGAATCTTGAAAGAGAGAAAGGGGACTCTTCCCCCTCCTGTTTTTGGTTTTGCACTTTGACTCCACTCCTGATTTTGGCTCATACTAGCGACCATTTCACAATCTGTCACAGCAGGTGCATTTGCTGCATTCACAAAAAAGTACAGCAAATATGAAAAGGAAAGATACCCACCAATGTAGACATAGCAAACGTACCTGTTCTCATTAAGTGTGAAGCAGCCATTGGCAACCTTGCCATCAATGAGTCTTCTAAGTAAACAGGCGTAAGATTTGGCTGTAGATCTCCCTTCTTGTTTGCTAGCCACCTTCTACACAAACACATTTCTAAGCATTCGCTGCAGAGCCATTTGACACTGGTTATGCTCCCAAGTCCAATGGAAATAGTGTAAGCATTTTGCAGAGAGATTGCCTTCAAGCAATTAAAAACTAAATTTATTTTGCCAGTAGGAAGTCTGGATAAAGCAAGATGCAGTTGCAGAGGTTGTCTTAAGAGCAGTTCCCAACAAACATGCCTGGAGTTGTAGTCCAAAAATGGTAGAGGCTGCATTACATAACCAGCATTGCTAAGCACAATCCATTAGGAACTTGAGCAACTTCTTTTCTTGCACAGCTCCTGATCATTTGAATGGTGTGTGCACAGGAAACCCCCTAGGCAACAGTGCCATACATTCAGAAAAGCAGGAGTACAAATTTTAATACAATTCATTAAAACTGAAGTGAGTGCCCTTTGAAAACCCTCGATTATGACTAACCTAATAAACAGCTTCAAAATTCTCTTTTTATGTGAAACAACAACAAAAAGAATACAATGCATGGTTAATGAAGCATTTTTAGGGACCATTCAGCAAACATGTGCTTCCTATTGTTTGTTCGTTTTGTTTTTTTACTGTGAAAGAGTGCATTACGTGTGCAATGTATTTAATTGTATTTAAGAAACATTTTGTTTGAATAAATGATTTTGAGTTGAACTTTTTATCTAGGAAATCCCTGAAAAATTATGTTTCTCTTTGTTTCTCCGTCCCTCTGTCTCTCTCACACACATAGCTGTAGTAACGTTTTGAAATAATAGAACTATCAGCAATATGCTTGAAAATAGAGGTGCATAGATGAGCACGTATTGACCTTACACCTTTAGGACAGGGATAGCAAATGTGGGACCCTCCATATGGTTTGAGCTACAACTTGTAGCTCCCTGACCACTGGCCATTCTGGTTGGGGCATCTCACCACATGGACGACCCCTGATTTAGGGGATTACAACTGTGGACAGGTGCTTAAAAGGGTCTCTTAGTTATGTGGGAGCTGTTTCCCATGGAATCAGGGGAGCACATGGCATGAAATAAATGCCATGTTTGAGACCCATGCCATCAATAGCACACCCGTGGCTGGGTCCAGAAAAAGCGCCTCCCACACAACTACAATAATATTTAAAGACGCGTTCAATTATTTCCTAAAGAAGATGATCCCTTTAGAACAAAGGTACATTCTTAGAGCACAGACAAAATATTCAGCTACTGGTAAATTGCTTCTGTGTGAACAAGATTCTGAAGACTTCTTGACAACTTGTTCTAGTCTTCCATATAAAGTATTTTCTTTTAAAATGCCTTTGAAGATATGCTCAAGGAAATGAAACGGTGATGTGCCTTATTGGTTGGTTGGTCAACAGAAGTTCCAGGTTTAACACTTGGTATTTTCTTCAAGGAGTTTGGCATGGAATTCATTTAATTAGAACAACATCAGAACACTTATAAACAGCTGCATACGAAATTGCTATTTCTACAGATGAATTTTATTGTCTGATTCAAGAGAGACTGAATTTTGTAACCATAAATGCTGTTCAGCACCACATAATTTTTTTGGATCTTATTTGTTGTGGCGTAGAAAATGGAGCAGACATATGCTTTGAGTGCTTAAGCTTATCTGAAGTTAACCCTGTAAGCCACGAAGCCTGAACTGATGTGAAATACCTGCACACCCTTCAGACGGCTTAACGTGTTATCACACCTGCTATTTAATTAAGTTAATACAGTAAAAAGAGTATAAGAATAGCATGTTGGAAAATCTCTGATCCCACCCAATCACAACTTGCCCATAAAGCTAGAACTAGTACAAATATCTATCTACACTTGCTTGTACAAATAAATAAATCAACATTTCCTCACCCCAACCCACCACTTTTCACGTTTCCGGTTGTCTCCAATATTTTTGTTGAGCGGCTGAAATAACTTTGGAGCAAGCTGCATTTTACAGGTACTTTGTGCATCGCCTCTCATTATTTCCGCACCTGAATGATGGCCTCACCTAGAATGCAGACCAATCCTCTGATTTACTTTCCTCCCCTTCCTCCTCATTGCTTATAAATTTTTCCCAATTGATCCTGTTTTCGGATTGATTCTAGGCTCCTCCACAAAGTGCAGGAAAATATTGTCTTTGGATTATTATAAATTCTGGGCCAAAAAAGTTTGCTTCCCTCCTGACATACTTTGAAAAAGTATGGAGAAAAAAAGGAGACCCATTGAGAGATGCAAGATGAACAGCTGTAAACCACCACCCCCTCTATAAAGGAGGACTGTAAATCTGCTGTTAGGGGTCTAAGAGCTGAGCTGCATGTTCAGTAAAATCTTGTTACACTGAAGTGGGAGATTGCATATCTGAATCCTGCGCATAGATTCCAGTTGGACACTGGAAACAAATAATTGGCCTAGGCTTTTCCATGAGCTGGTAAGCAGTCTGAAACGGGCACGCCACATAATTTAGCGGAACATGTAGACCAGTCGTTAGAAGGATTGCAATCATAGATCTAAAACTCTAGAACGGTGCCACCCCAACTTTTTCTTACCTTGTGAACTACTTGAAAATTGCTAAGGGTCTTGGTGAACCTTTTAATGGTTTTCCTGCCAGTTGCAGAAACTGCAATGCACTGTAAAGGTAAAGGGACCCTTGACCATTAGGTCCAGTCATGATAGACTCTGGGGTTGTGGCGCTCATCTCGCTTTATTGGCCGAGGGAGCCGGCGTACAGCTTCCGGGTCATGTGGCCAGCATGACTAAGCCGCTTCTGGTGAACCAGAGCAGCACACGGAAATGCCGTTTACCTTCCCGCCGGAACAGTACCTATTTATCTACTTGCACTTTGACATGCTTTCGAACTGCTAGGTTGGCAGGAGCAGGGACCGAGGAACAGGAGCTCAGCCCGTCGCGGGGATTCAAACCTCCAACCTTCTGATCGGCAAGTCCTAGGCTCTGTGGTTTAACCCACAGCGCCACACGCGTCCCATGCAATGCACTGTACTTGGCGTTATTTGATTTTCAGCTATTTAATGAACATACCATAATAATAATAATAATTTTTTATTTATACCCCGCCCTCCCCAGCCAAGGCCGGTCTCAGAGCGGCTTACAAGCAATAATAAAAACAAGAAGAATGATTACAACTTAAAAACAAAAATAAAATACAAGATTAAAATAATGGAACATTAAAATATTAAAATGTAGCCTCATTGCAGGAGGAGAAGGAAAAGAAAAAAGAAAGAGAGGGAGGGAGGGAGGGAGGGAATCAAATTGGCTCCAAGCCAAAGGCCAGGCGGAACAATTCATAAGCCATCTGAATGAAGCTCACAGACAACCAGTGGTCCACAAACCACAGTTTAGGAATCCCTGCTCTAAAAGGCTCCTGGGAGCTTATTTTATGGTCTGTCGCATCAGAGTATGCCTGAATACATACATGAAAACTAGGACTGGGTGATATATTGATATATCGTCCAAAATGGGTTTGAAGTCCTTATTGTGATACCACTTTCATAATTACTGACCTGGCAATATATCACGAATCTTCGTAGCTCCATCCTTATTCAGACATTGTGATGTATCAGTATATCGCGATGTTGAAAACCAGATATCGCCCAGCCCAATAATAGTTTAAAATGAATTGGAATCCCAGGGATCATAGGAAAGATCATTAAATTACAGTAGCAGCACAAGAATTAGAGCAAATGCCTTTGACTACACACGGCAACAGAGCTTACAGCTTGAAGAAATTGTCAGGTGGAGTGGCTGAACAGCTGAAACCCTGGATGAGGAATCTGTGACCCCTCAG